ATGTCTCATTCCTAGCACAGATGTTAATGGCCAAGAAGATGCATAAACAGGTATCATATAGGACAAAGAAAGAAACTTAAGTATATTTTATGATTGAAGATTTGTTTTCTTGAGCTAGTTCTTTCTATACCAATAGTAATACCTAGTTATCACGTGAATATCCAGTAAAAAGCAAATCTATAATGAGAAGACTTGCATTCTTTAAAAGTTGAGGCAGTATTTCTCATCTCTTAACCCATACTCCAGAGCAAAATAGTGCTTCATTTACTTGATTCTTTAAATGTCAGGCAAGAAACTATGATTTACTGGTAACTTAGCAAGTCACACAGAAAAATCCACTTTTCATGAAAGAAATAGCAAGACAGTATCTAGGTTGGCAGTAATTGTTTTTGAGCTACTTAGAATTTTATAAAAATTAGCTTGAGGTGGGCATTGTACTGCACTAGTCTTGAGCTGCCATTTGAGATGTCTGCAGCCTAAATCAGAGTGCCTGAGATCCGATGTCACTTCCACTTCTTAGCTAACTTCCTGCTGATTTGCACCCTGGGAGGCAGACGGTGATAGCCCAAGTACTTGAGTCCCTGCCTCCGACATGGGAGATCCAGATGGGATCCCTGGTTCCTGGTTTCTGTCCGGCTCAGCCCCGAGCGTAGGCCATTATGAGCATTAGGGGAGTGAACCCACCGATCAAAGATGTCTCTCTTCTCTCTCTCTGCCTTCCAAATACATAAACCTTTTCAAAATTATCTTGAGAGGTTGCCTTGTTAAAATAGTAGCATATAATTGCTGTTATATACAGATGAGTTTCTAACCTGTTTTTATATTCATGTAGATATTTTTAAAGTGCTTTTTTATTATCAGTGCAACTAGTTCTGTTTGTTAGCTAGGACAGATTTTAGGAATTTCATTGTCCATTCTCTGTTATGTGTCTTTTCTCCTTGTCACTGCATTCCTCTCTCTTCCCCGCTTTTTGCCTCTGTTCACGTAGGATAATTTTTAGGAGATTTCCAAATCTGTTTAGGATACTTTCTCTGGATATCTTTCCTGGTTTTGTCTAGAAGACTAATTTCTATTTCCTAATTTTTCAGTTGCACTAAAAATAATATTTTAACTTCTTAACTTTTCAAGGCTTTCAAGTACTTTTACTTTGCCTTCAGATTTTTATTTATAAGATTAATATTAGTTTAATATTACTTTTGCATTTTCTAATTATTTAAAATGTTAATATTATATAGAGATAAATAATTTAGACTATTTTTTTTAAACTTTTATTTAATGCATATAATTTTCCAAAGTACGACTTATGGATTACAATGGCTTCCCCCCCATACCGTCCCTCCCACCCACAACCCTCCCCTTTCCCACTCCCTCTCCCCTTCCATTCACATCAAGATTCATTCTCGATTATCTTAATATACAGAAGATCAGCTTAGTATACATTAAGTATGGATTTCAACAGTTTGCTCCCACACAGAAACATAAAGTGAAAAATAATAGATGATTTTTTTAAATGATGATGAAATCAGAGCAGACCTATTGTCATGTTAATCCCAGTGAGAGTCAAGTTGGATGATAATTTTTTTTTTTTTTTTTTACAGAGGATCAGTTTAGTATGCATTAAGTAAGGATTTCAACAGTTTGCACCCCCATAGAAACACAAAGTGAAATATATTGTTTGAGTACTCGTTATAGCATTAAATCTCGATGTACAGCACATTAAGGATAGAGATCCTACATGAGGAGTAAGTGCACAGTGACTCCTGTTGTTGACTTTACCAATTGACACTCCTGTCTATGGCATCAGTAATCTCCCTATGCTCTAGTCATGAGTTTCCAAGGCTATGGAAGCCCTCTGAGTTCTCCGACTCTTATCTTGTTTAGACAAGGTCATAGTCAAAGTGGAGGTTCTCTCCTCCCTTCAGAGAAAGGTACCTCCTTCTTTGATGACCTGTAATTTAGACTATTTTTTATAGAGTCTGATGACTACAAAGTGAGAGATGTGTTACCAGGTTGATTGATTAGGCTTTGCTGTAATAAACTAATATAATTTGAACTTTTTCTAATAAGTTAATATACTTTGTTTATAAGCAAATATTTCCTCATTAAACCCATTGAAATGGAAAAATGAAAATTAGAATACTTTGTACACTAGAGAAAATTCTTTAACACAGAGAAAAAATTCTGAAAATACTTTTAAGCATTTCAGAAATATTTGCAATTCGATGGCATAGTTATAAATGTTCTTATCTAGAAATTAGAATATCTATAAGAAACTTATAAGAGGAATTCCTTAATATAGTGAAAGCTGGTAAAAGTCTCTCAAATATTTCATAGATCCATGCTCAGATGCAGTGGAGTTTGAAAAAATTTTGCTTTATTTGCATAAGCCAAACCTTTTAACTTCAGAGCATATTACATTTCAAATTCTGCAGTGAGTATTTAATACACTGTGTTTTTAAAAGGCCATCACTCCAAAAAAATGAGTGTTCCTTCAATAAAAATGTAAACTCTCAGCAAAGAACAGACATTTACTATATTAAATCTTTAGTGATAACATAGATAACATATTATTATTTAATGTTTATGCATCAAAACCTTCCTCCTTTTCCTCCTAGTTATCTGATGAATGTCGAGAGAATCCAAAATTTGATATAAAGTAGATATCCTGTGTTGAGCTAGTAATGCAGCTAAATTCATTGTACCATTTGCTTCCCTTTTTCACTCTGTCTTCTGCTTTGCTTCAGTTCTCAACACATTCAGAACGGAAGTAGAATACTGAGGCAGTCCCTCACTGATGGCCTGGTGACTTGTAGTCCCATTCTAAACCATGTCTAGTCTAAGTATTGAGCTTTTAAATAAACCATTAAAAAATAAATCTCTCTGTGCCTCAATTGCTTCAACTGTGAAAGGAGGGTAATTCAAATTCACCCTTTCCGGTCCATATAAACTCTAACATTCTTTGAGATTTATGGATTTTTTAAAATAAGAATCAGCCCTTAAGGCATTCTGATCTGGCTAAAAAGCCCATGAGGAGTATTTCAGGCATGGAAAGCCAAGACACTGTGGCAAAAAATGACCTAAATGAAAGACCTCTATGAATGAGATCCTGGTGGAAAGAAGGGGCCATCAAAGAAGGAGGTACCTTTCTCTGAAGGGAGGAGAGAACTTCCACTTTGATTTTTGCCTTGTCTAAATATGATAGAGTTTGTGAACTCAGGGGGCTTCCATAGCCTTGGCAGCTCATGACAAGAGCCTCGGGTGATTGCTGACGTCATAAATAAGAGTGTCATTTGTTAAATCAACAACAGGAGTCACTGTGCACCTGCTCCCCATGTAGGACCTCTGTCCTTAATGTGTTGTCTATGCGAATTAACGGTAAAATTACTACTCAAATAGTACTCTGTGTGTCTGTGTGGGTACAAACTGTTGAAATCTTTACTTAATATATTGTTCATCTGTATATAAAGATAATTAAAAATTAATCTTAATGAAGAATGGGATGAGAGAGGGAGTAGGAAATGGGATGGTTTGAGGGTGGGAGGGTGGTGATGGGAGGAAGAACCACAATAATCCAAAAGTTGTACTTTTGAAATTTATATTTATTAAATAAAAGTTTTCTATTAAAATAAATAAGATTTTGGATTTTATGACTTTACTTTTAGTTTTACATACAACAGTGTCATGTGTCGCTAAGTAGTTTGATCAAGGTCATCCTTTCTTCAATGGTTTCATATAAGGTCATCTTTTGATGAGTTTAGCCTTTCTATGGGGTGTATTGCAACTCACAGTTTGCTGCTTTAAATTTTTTAATTGTAACATATGAAAATTTCCCAAAATTATTCTAAGGTGGCAAAATGACTTCTTACATTTATTTACATAAGCCCTTTCTGCAACAATGTTTAGATGAAATACTTAGGATGAGTTACTATCTATAACTAGAAATCGAAAACTGAGGGCAAAGGAAAGAAGAAAACAAATATATTTAAAAAGTATCAGTCATATGATTGCTTTGAGTATGCTTCCTGTTTGTGAGATAATACAGCCATAACAAAATTAAAATTATGTTTAGCTTCATAACTTACTTTATAAAAAGGAGAAAGTGTATTCCCCTTAGGAAGCAGAGTTTTTACTTATACACACTCTAAAAGAAACTTGTGAGTCTTTAAGAAGAGGATACAGAAAAAAGGTGGGGGCCAGTGATGTGGATCACTAGGTTAATCTTTGGCCTGCAATGCTGGCATCCCACATGGGTGCCAGTTCTAGTCCTGGCTGCTCCTCTTCTGATTCAACTCTCTGCTAAGGCCTGGGAAGGCAGTGGAAGATAGCCCAAACCCTTGGGCCCCTGCACCCACGTGGGAGACCTGGAGGAAGCTCCTGGCTCCTGGCTCCTGGCTTTGGATTGGCTTAGCTCCAGCCATTGTGGCCATTTGGGGAGTGAAGCAGCAGATGGAAGACCTCTCTCTGTTTCTCTCTCTCACTGTCTGTAACTCTACCTCTCAAATAAATAAATAAAAGTCTTGAAAAGAAAAAAGCTGCATTATGTGCAGTTTATTTCCTGCTTTTTCATATATTTACTTTCCCAACTTTGGGGAAACAGAATTTTTCCTAGTATGAATAGTCATGACTATGTAAATGTTAATCAAATATATAGTAAAAAATGATTGTTTATAATCTCACAAATAAGTGAACTTAGGTTTTGATTCAAAAAATAAACTTTTGAATCCTTATAATCTTGCTGTATTGGGTAGCATACTTACAATGTATAATGCACTTAATATTCCATGTTCTAATTAGTATTTAACCCATTTAGTTATTTCTTTATCCAACTTCTCCCCAATCCTCACTTGATTATAGACCTACTAGTCTAGAAGTCCTACTTTTTCATTTGTAATTCTAACACTAGTTTCATTGCCTGTGCATATTAAAGTACTCAGTAAATATTTTAATGAATTAATAAAATACTGATTTTAATTACATTTATTCTCTCTTTCACAATGTAGAATTATGGCTTGGAGACAGAAAATCTGAAAACCCTTTCTCACAAGTTGAATGCATCTGCCAAAAATCTACAGAATTTTATAACAGGAAGGAGAAGGAGTGGCCATTATGATGGGAGGACCAGCCGAAAATTGCCAAATGACTTTCTGACTTCAGTTGTGGATCTGATTGGAGCAGCCAAGAGTCTACTTGCTTGGTTGGACAGGTATAGTCTTCTATATATTTAATAAATAACTCCTCCTCAGACATAATTTTAAATATATCATTATTTCAACTTTCTTTTTTAGAATGTATAATGTATATAATTTGTGATAAAACAATTTTGTATTGTAAAATAAGTAAGAAAATGAATATATATTTTATAATAAAACAGTAAAAAATCGTAAACATATATGCATTGAACAACTGAAAATATGTGAGGCAAAAACAAGTGATTCTGAGAGGAGATACTGAGAGATCTACAACTATTGGCAACTTTGATCATCTTGCCTCCATATTTGATGCAATGCATAGACAAGAATTTATAATGTACATTGCCTGAACATGATAATCACCTGGACCTGCTGCAGTCCGGTGGACACTCTTCCTGCCCACAGCAGAGCACATGGTGTGTCTAAGTGCCTGCACAGCAGTCTCCAAGAGACACTGTACTGTGGGTCATAAATCCATTCTCAAGGGATTTTAAATAGTAGAAATTATGTAAATAGGAATAATTCAACTAAACTCGAGATGGGTAAAACCAAAAGTGGTATCTAGAAAACCTATGACTGCTTTTGAGTTAAAACATAAACTTTTAAATAAGCCATAAGTTGAAGGAGAAGGCCCAAGGGAGCTTTTGTTTTTTCCCCCAGAAACCTTTTATTGAAGTTATACATATTGAGAAACATTGTGATTCTTTCCACCCTACCTGGCTCGCAGCCACGCTCCTACCAGTTTTCCTCCTCCCTCTCCTATTCCTATTCTTATTTTTACTAAGATCTATTTTCAATTAACTTTATACACATAAGATTAACCCTATACTAAGTAAAGAGTTCAGCAAATAGTATGGAAAAAAAAAACTTCCTCAACAGTTCCATTAAGGGTATTCAAATTTTATTGCATCTCAAAGTGTTAATTTCTCTTCTATAGATTACCTGTTCGGTACTCTATCAGTTACTATAGATCAGAGAGCCATATGGTATTGTCTTTTTGATACTGGTTTATTTCACTAAGGATAATGTTTTCCAGTCGCATCCATTTTTGTAGTGAAAGGATTGGACAAGAAGAATGTAGGGGTATCATCAAATAGCTATAAATCTTTCGTCAAATTTGATATATAACTCAGTAGGCAATGCACATTTAATCTCTGACAACTGTAAAATACCTTTATTGTTTTATAATCAGGATCACCATTTTGGTGTCTTAACAAAATTTATAGTAGTTCTTTGTCTCCTGATTTTTTTTTACTTTTCTTTTTAATTGGTTGTATTTAAATGACCATTGGAATTCTATATACTATTTTATATTTTAAATGAGTAGATAGACAAACACTTTTTTTTTGAGTTTAACTCATTTTCATTTGTTTTAGAACTTAACATGCATAAAAGCTTTCATAATATGAAATAAAAACAGCTTAGGTAAAAATTATATATATTACATATGTAGTTAAAACTGTTTATAAAAAGAACTATATAAGCTTCCTAGGTTTTGAAATGATCTGTAAGGAGCCTAATACATTATAATGGTTAAATAACCAAGATTAAGAATACTGTGGCATAGCGGGTAAAGCCACCACCTAAAGTGCCAGCATCCCATATGGGTGCCAGTGCAAATCCCAGCTACTCTATTTCCCATCCAGCTTTCTGGTATGGCCTGGGAAAGCAGTAGAGCATGACCCAAGTGCTTGGGCCCCTGCACCCACATGAGAGACCTGTAAGAAGCTCCTGTTTCCTGGCTTCAGATCCTCTCAACTCTGACCATTGTGGCCAGTTGAGGGGTAAACTAGCAGATGGAAGACTTTCTCTCTCTCTCTCTCTGCCTTTGCAAATCTGCCTTTTAAATAACTAAATACATCTTTAAAAAAAGAGAATACTATGTATCTCATTAGAAACTCTGATAATGTAAAATTTTACCAGAATTCTTGGATAAATGCCATTAGGATACACACACTCACATACACATCCATCCATATTACATTTTGACATTTTAAAAACAGGAGACTGAATTAAAATTAAATTATTTGTATTTTAATGTAAAAGAATAATTTTGATTTTATATTGTATGAATTTATTAATGTAAGTGCTAATACTAAATCCAAATCTAAATTCTAAGTTGAATATTACTAACTTTTTGGTAACTAATGGACATATTGTTTTGCATTATAATATTACATTTTTTTGAAATATTTATTAACTTGAAAGTCAGAATTACACAAAGAGAGAAGGAGAGGCAGAGAGAAAGAGAGAAGTCTTCCATCTGCTGGTTCACTCCCCAGTTTGCTTCAGCAGCCAGAGCTGCGCCGATCCAAAGCTAGGAGCCAGGAGATTCTTCTGGATCTCCCTCGTGGGTGCAGGAGCCCAAGGACTTGAACCATCTTCTGCTGCTTTCCCAGGCCATAGCAGAGAGCTGGATCAGAAGTGGAGCAGCCGAGACTCGAACCGGCTCCCATATGAGATGCTGGCACTGCAGACAGCAGCTTTACCCTCTACGCCACAGCACCAGCCCCATCATTAAAATTTAAGCCCCATATTATATAATACATTTCAATTGTTTAAAGTAATTGCATTTTAAATATATATATACACATATACACACACACACTCTAAAACTTAATTAGTAGTCAGTAAGTAAAATATGGCTTAGTCCATAAGTAATGTAATACATTTTTTTAAGATTCATATATTTATTTGAAAGACAGAATTACAAAGAAGCAGAAGCAGAGAGAGAAAGAGAGAGTTTTCATGTGCTGGTTCACTCCCAAAAGGGCTGCAGTGGCAGGAGCTGGGCCAATGGAAAGCCGGGAGCTGGAAGCTTTCTCTGGGTCTCCCACATGGGTGCAGGGACCCAAGGACTTGGGCCATCTTCTACTGCTTTCCCAGGCCATAGCAAAGAGCTGGATCGGAAGTGAAACTGGGACGCGAGCTGGCATCCCATATGGGATGCCAGCTCTGCAGGCTGTGGCTTCACCTGCTATGCCACAGCACTGGCCCCAGTACATTTGTTTTGAGAGGATTTAAAGTAATCAGAAAGCTTAAAGAATACATACTTGACTTAGTTATATTTTCTTTCACTGCCAACAACCCTGTAAGTATAAATTTGCTCATCCTGCATATTTGTTATTTTTTAATTCCATTACATTTTCTTTTCATACTAATATCTGATAGGTAGGTAGGTAGGTAGGTAGATAAAGCTAAGAACTTATTGAGTAGGTAGGGCAGTAGATAGAGTGATTATAGAATGTTTTTTACGTCTTAATGACAAATTTGTTTATAAAATCAGACAGATTGCTTCTGCCACTATAGTGATTGCTGAGATTTTATTGTATTTTCGATCTTTATGGTGGCATTATTTTTATAATCTATTAAGATGCTTTTGGTAAATACATATTCAGCTACAAAACACATGGGTACCTGCCTCATACCAAAACACACACAGAGCAATCCAAAAAGTTGATCAGTGGTATTTTGTATTTGTTTCATCAAATGAGACAGAAAGCCTAAAGGAAATCACTTATATCATCTGTTTAGCTTCCATTGATGCAGAGGTTCTCACATGTTTATTTTGTGTTATATTGCAGTGGTCAATTTAATAAAAAATCATTTAACATTTTGATCATGAGGAAAAATAAGTACCTGGAAGGATACAAAAGGAAAACTGTGTGATAACTTCAGAATCTTCTTTTGAGGGGCAGCCATTGTGGTTCAGTGCGTTAAGCCACCTCTTATGACATATGTATTCCTTATTGTAGTGTCTAGTTCAAGTCCTGGCTACTCAGCTTCTGATAAAGCTTCCTACTTATGTGCATGGGAGGCAGCAGGTGGTGGATCAAGTACTGGGATTCCTGCCACCCGTGTGAGACACATAGCTGGAGTTCCAGGCTCCTGGCTTTGGCCCACCCCTAGCTGTTGCAGTCATTTGGGGAGTGAACCAGAAGATGGAAGATGTCTCAGTCTCTGCCTCTCTCAGTCTCATTCTGCTTTTCAAATAAATAAACATTAAAAGGATCTGATGAGGCCTTTGTAAATCCAAAAAAGAAATTGAAGTTTCTTTTTGAAGATCTTTTGTAGAGAAATTCAGCTTTAGACTGACTTGCCTTAGTGATAATGCTTTATCAGCTTAAATTTGCTTGGGAAAAAAGCAGAAAAAGAAAAAAAAAGATTCTATTCCATGTTTATGCATTTGGACACTTTGCTGAAGACAGTAGAGATCTCATTAGGGTCATTGTTCATATCTGTGAATGTTTTAGATCACTTGGGCTATAGTGTTGGAGAAGATTAAAGAAGGGTAGAAGAGAAGCCAATTAGGCTCTTTTAGGAATTAATTATGCTGCAAATATTGGTAGTTATTCTGATGCTTAGCTTTGATGATGGTAATGTCTGTTGGGCACTAATACCTCCAGATGCACTCATTTAGTCAAAAACAACTCTAGAAAGACTGCCTTCGTTTTACAAATAGGAAAACTAGGACTTTGGGCGGTTAAGATCACCCCGGTTAGAATGACTCACATGCAGAAATCTACCAACAACAGATGCTGGCGAGGATGTGGGGAAAAAGGGACACTAACCCACTGTTGGTGGGGATGCAAACTGGTCAAGCCACTATGGAAGTCAGTATGGAGATTCCTCAGAAACCTGAATATAACCCTACCGTTCGACCCAGCCATCCCACTCCTTGGAATTTACCCAAAGGAATTCAAATTGGCAAACAAAACAGCGGTCTGCACCCTAATGTTTATTGCAGCTCAATTCACAATAGCCAAGACCTGGAACCAACCTAAATGCCCATCAACGGTAGACTGGATAAAGAAATTATGGGATATGTACTCTTTAGAATACTATACCGCAGTAAGAAACAACGAAATCCAGTCATTTGCAACAAAATGGAGGAATCTGGAACACATCATGCTGAGTGAAATAAGCCAGTCCCAAAGGGACAAATACCATATGTTCTCCCTGATCGGTGACAACTGACTGAACACCAAAAAGGAAACCTGTTGAAGTGAAATGG